TGCTTCAGTGCCACTATAATGGTAAACTACGGGTGAAGATTCACTCTACTAAAAACACTTGCTCCAATAATTGTACTCTGGTAACCAGTACAAATTAAAAAAATAACACCTTCTCAATTTTACCACTTTCCAGGTTTTGATGGTATCAAGCCCTTTCTTGGTCCAGAACATAACCTAAAATCTTGACACTGACCATGTAAAGTTTGTGTCAATTTATTCCTTAGCTCTTTTTCAGTCATCTCCTTTATTTTCTTTAAGAGGCTCTCTTCCTCCTCATAGACTATGAATATGTCAAAAAGCTCCATTCTCAGGCTAATTCAGTCACTCAATCTTTGGAAAGTTTTCATGTGTTCTTGATTTTTGTTTTCACAAAGCAAATCCAAAATTCTCATTATTCCATTATCTCCCTGATAGCTTTTCTATGTCAACTTCCTTGACAAAGTCAATACACCAAAACCACCCTAGGCCTTCTATCTGACATTGCTAACCTCCTCACCTACCCCCTGATTCAGTTACATATTCTACTTTGCCCTTGCTGAGAAATCAAGTCCTCCATCTCTTCCCTCATCATACTGCTATTGTCCACATTCAGGAATAATGTTCTTAAATTAAAAGAAGGTGTATTTAGACTGGATAGAAGGAAGAAGGTTTTTTTTTCACAGCGAGGGTGGTGAGACACTGTCACAGGTTGCCCAGACAGGTGGTAGATGAATCATCCCTGGAAATGTTCAAGGTCGGGTTGGATGGGGCTCTGAGCAACCTGTTTTATTTAAAGATCTCACCGCAGACGAGTTCTAACCCAAAACCTTTTTATGATTCTCTTCCTTGATTCATCTTTCTATGATTCTTATCTTCCACCCAGATAATGGAAGTCTTATTATCTCCCACCTTGATTAATCAATCCTCCCAATAATTCCCAAACCAAATTTTAGTCTCTCCAGATCCTCTCCAAACTTCGTATCACTTCCATGGTTTCCTCCTCCTCCTTGAAATGAGTGATATAGGAAAAATCTCTCATGTGTGAAGGATCTATTTACTCCTTTTGCACCCTTTGCCTATGTGAGGGTTCATGATTTCCACAACCAATGTATCTGCTGCTCTCAGGAGCACTAAAACATTCTCTCCCATCCAAGCTTCTCTAGCTACTGACTTTATCTAGAAGTTCTGTAGAGGTGTACAAGAAATGCAAAAGTTGAGGAGGTATCTGAAGGCCAAGAATGTCTGAAGTTATCTCAGTACATTGCTCTGATGGAGCCATTGAAGTTGCTTGCTGAGTTCTACTTCCGTATTTTCTACAGAAATTCAAAGAGCAACTAGATGTGTGATCAGAGACATGAAACAACCTACCCATTTATTTTGCTAATGAGTTTGAAGTCATGTGAACATACACCTGACTAGCTTTAAAAACAAAAGGAATGATTGAGCCCTATGATACTTATTAATAACAGGATGCATAAACTTAGTGACAGCTGCAGTTTTGCAGCTAGTGTTCAGACAAATGCAACCCAAAAAACTTAGAAGTTCACCATTTATTGGGGAAAAGCAGTGAAAGATACAGATTTTTTTTTTTTTTTTAAACTACAAACTGGGCTCTTGGAAATTGTATCTTCTGTAATTTATTCCTCAGTGAATTATAACATATTCCTTTCTATAAATGGAAGTGTAAGTGACATTTTCAAAAACTGAAAGGCAAAGACTCAACTTAAAAACATAAATGGCTATTGGTCTCCTTCTTGTTACTTAGAATATTTATTTTTTTCTTTGTAAAAAAGACATTTCAGAAAAAAATCAAGGCAGAAAATGGATTATATAAAAGCTTCCAATTCATTGTTCAGAAACCTGGGGACTATTTTTATGATATTCTGAAAAAAATCATAAATATATAAAACAGATCAAATTCTCTCCTTCCCATCAAATGAAACAATGCATCAAAATTGTGCTACAGTTTACCCATCAGAAACTAAGATCCATCGCAACTTACTTTTTATTTATGCTCTAATCTTGAGCAGCATTACTTAGTGACCTCACTGTAAGGGCTGCTTTTTGCAAAAAAGTGAGGTGTCCAGGCTTGCCCTGTAAAATAGAGATGCAGACAAGGGACACACGATACAGTTCCTCCCCACGCTCCTTCATCGCATCACATACCTAAGCAGAGTCAGAGGTTTCGGGTAGTCCTAGGGGCTTATCTTTAGGTGCTCAGGTTAGAAACAGATTTTATCAGTTGTTTGAAACACCAGAGATCTTTATGCAGGCTCTGCTAACATACTTGCAAACTAATTTGTCATAACAGGCCCACTGTAAAAGATGTGGCTAACAGGCATACTTACCATATATTTCTAAGGAGACTAGAAAATAATTAATGTTTAAAAAGCTTCAGGCATTTTGTTTAGCAAAGAGATTAAACATAATGCCAAATAAACCTAAACCTCATCTGTTTGTTTGAAATACATGCTGTTACATGTTTTACAGTTACTTAAGCACAATTAACTAAACCTGAGATAATGACAAGGCTGCCAACCGCAGATCAACTCTTCCCTGTTTAAAAGACAGGTAACTAAACAAGCTTCAGTTTATTAGAAAGAGCTGGAAACACCAATAACAGTGGTTATTTACCTAGTCTGGAAGTAAAGGATATGAGAGGACAGAGCCTCAAGAATCTTCCAGGCTATACTACATGACGAAGGTTACACATGTAGCTAACTGAACATCCCCAAACTGCCTTGATGCCTAGGCGGTTTTGGTGTATTGATGCTTTAACAAAAGAAAACCCAAACAACAAAAAACCACACCAAAACCAAACACACAACGTCCCAACAAACAAAAAACCAAAACAACCCCCCAAAACAGAGTACATACAGGGGGAAGGGAGGAGATCAGAGGGTTAGTACTGAAAGTCCATAGTTACTGTTGCATTTTATGAAGAAATTCACATAAGCAAGAAAAGGAAAAAAGAAAAAAAAAGGCATAACAAGGGCTCTGGGGCCATGAGAAGGATTAGAACGATGTGCTCCTGGATATGAGTCAGTAAAGAGTCAAGATGAGGGTAGAGCTGAGTTGTTCAAATGGACCGATGCAGTAGAGAAAAATCTTACTGACCTTGTTTTGATAAAAACTTATTAATATATTACAGTATCATGCTGTCTGACACCTCAAGCACCTATCTATTGTGCCATTTCCCAAAGGAAACTGGCAGGACCATTGGGACAAAACTTGAAGGGAAGTACCTGAATCTCACACAGCAAGTATAAATTAGTGAAGAAATAGAGAGGAACACAGCAGTGAACAGGGAAGCTGATGAACCTGGTTAAGATGAAATGACAGAAAGAAACAGCAGCTTGCAGAAGATGAGATGTGTAAATCCCCGTGACAGAAGTGCAATTTGCAATCAAGACAGCTGGTAAAGGTTAATCAAGGACTAAAGTCCAACAGGACAACAGAAGGACCATGAGGAGATTTAAATTCTGAAATCTGCTAAGCAAAGGGTAGAAAAAGAGGAAGAGGAAACAGAAACACTAAACAAAGATGATCATCATTAATTTCTTCAAAGCTCTTCTTTTTTTTTTTCTTGACTTATATGTCTTTTAAGAGCCTTATCTAATAGAGATGCCCCTGTGTCACGTGTCTCCTTCAGATAATTTTGTCTCAACTTTTGTAGGTATTTTGAAGATCATCTTCACACTAAAATGGGTAAAAACCACAGTCAGATCCCTGTGAAGATCGATACAGCAACTTGATCACGCTCTAACATTATCTACACAGGGAATAAATTTGTTAGAAAACTGAAGTTACCAGATAGTATTATAATGAAACCAGAAAGCTGGAAGCTAGCAGTAGCTGTGCTTATAGACTAGAAGAAAAGGGAAAAAAAAAAAAAAAAAAGGAAGTGAAACTTGTAAATTCACACTGAAGAAAATTCATTTGCAAAAGTGTCAACCTAAAAAGTGCTGATGTTCTAAATAAAGAATTAAAGACTTATTTTAAAGAGCTGCTCTTGCTCAGAAAACATAACAGACTGTTGCAGGAAAAGGAATTTTCTGTGGCTTGCTATGCCCCACATTTTGCAACATAACAGACTTGATGACCATAATGACTGCTCCATTATATTGTAAAATATACAAACCTCTTGCCTTCTTTCTCTTATGGCACTGTTGCACTAATAAACATTCCATATGATAAAGTGATAAACCTATGAATCTATTAGCCTATATCTGTACCATAAATTAAGTTCTGTCCCAGAGACAAAGAAAAAACTCCACATCCACACCTGTCTTTCACATTTTCAATATTGCATTTGCTACAAGGTTTTAACCATATTGCTGTAAGTCACACTTAGCATTCACTCTATGACGTATTCTTGAACAATGTTTCTCTAAAACCTGCTTTTGATTAAATCTTCCAGCATATCTCCGATTATTCTATCTCTTTCTGTAACACAACTTGAAGAAAGGAAAACCTTAGTCCTTTATGACTATTTACAAGTAGCACAGCCGTAGAAAAAAAATGTTCTGATAAGGGATAAAACCACTTTCAATTTATTAAAAACCCCTAAATAGTGTAGTAGTTAGAAAATTAAAATGAGATAAGGTGCCCAATATCAAGTTCTTAATTCAAACATTAGTTATCATTTGTAGAATATATATACACACACACACTATGAAATGACATGATTTGCCATGTACATTATGAAAACAATGTACTATCTTCACCCCAGAATAGAAACAATAAACTCCATGCAATTTAAACTAATTCATGATTTGGTCTAAGTGCCTTTGACAAAACTACTGATACATTTTTATTCATCATTTGAGCGAATAACATTGAAAAAAAAACATCAATTTAGCATTTTCAGGCAATTTAAAGAGTTGGACAAGAAATTACCTTTAAAATGGTCACCTACATACTTAAAAGCATTATTTTGATTTTAAAAAAAAAACTTTATTTTTCTTCTTCATGCTTAGGATTATAAAGAATTAAGGATTCTACAAAATGTTTATACTTACTTATCTCCAAAGAATTTTCTCCAGAAATCTGCAGCATCGGCTTTGGTGATACGAAAGTTATCACCCTGGAACTGGCCATTTGGAAAAATGGCCTTGATTTCTGCTAGCATGTGGCTGAAGATGAGGGACAGCTTTGTTAAGTTCCTCCTGCAGATATTATAGGGGGGGAAAAAAAAAAAAAATCACATCAAATCCGTAATTGCATAATAATGACTGTGTGACATAATAAAAACACTGAGCTTTCAACTGAAAACACAAAGGAATACAAATCATTAGTTTGTGTTTCCATGCACTTCTGAGGATGTATTTATTGTAAGTTTCCATTAATATAAAATCATTTGTTCAGCAAACAGATTTGAACAGATCAAAATAGCTTTCAGTTCTCAACTGCATATTCCATATACATTTATGATCCTCAAAAAGATAATGCTTGTGCATTTCTATTTAATTTAATCATTGCAGAAGCAGGAATTTATACTAGACAGCTAATACATTTAATAAATAAATAAAATAAAAAAAAAAATCCACAACAACCACCCACACAAACCTCAAAATACCTTTTTTTTTTTTAATATGTGACATCAAACCTATTTCAGTACAGGTTTCTAGAAATATAAACACAACATAGAACTGAGTTTACTCTTCTTCTCCTATGACAATTTTATTCTTTCCAGTTTTCCCTTAATACAGCTACTTCCCAGTCTCTTTTAAAAATGCCTTCTCTCTAGAAAAAAAACAACAACAACAACAAAAAAAACAGCTTTCCATTTTTTAAAGCAATTTTGAAGCTGTAATTATTTCAACTAGATTTGTGAACAACTTGTAATAGAGATTCTTATGGAAGCTGTGTTGCACATTTTACTATAGGTTTTGCTACCAGGATAACTATGATTAAGACAGTTATTTAAAACATAAGTAGTTCAAAACAAACAAACAAACCCCTGATGAATACACTCGCCTTCCCCTCAAGATTCAGGCTAATTCTTTCAGAGTCCTTTAATTCCTCCAGTATAATCAGATGTCTATAATTATGATGCCCAACTGTTCCTTATTTTCTGGATTTGTTCCTTGCTATCCCCCTTTCTATTTCCTTTGTACTGTGATTACACACACGTGTTCTTTATTATTTTACTCCTCAGAACTCAAGCCTGCTCCAGAGAGCAAGCAACAGCTATTTTCATGTGCCTTCTTCCTCAGCCTGCCCTAGATCCAAGCTCAAACAAGAAGCTTGCTGTACTCAGGACAGCTGGGAACACGACTTGGTGCAAGCCTGAGCAGAGCTCTCCCTCGCACGGTACACCACGTATCTGTGGACATGAGCCATGTTCTGTGCCACTGGGCTCCTCCCCAGGTACAAATGCACCCAGTGAGCTTGTTGGATCCGTGCAGCTTGAGCCCTGCAGTGAACTGAGGGATGAAGTCATGTACAGGTGCTGTCTGCGGCACTTCCTTGCCCAGAGGGGAAGCGAGTGTCTCTATGCACGTGTCCACGCACATGCACTGCCTCTCAGGTACAGCTGCACAGTATGGGACCAGAACCAACACACTCTGCAGGAACTGGACAGAAAATGCATAGTATAGACAAGCAGCCAAAGAAAACCTTTTCCTTCTCTCTTTGAAAAGCATCAGTCACTTTGGTTTTGTTACACAAGCTGGTTAACACAAGGAAAAAAAGTCCATTCTTTTTGTTTGTATAAACAAGAAAATGTTTTAATAGCAAACTAAGATCCTTCTTTCTATCTGACTGCGAAGCTGAAACTTGAAACCACCTAGAACCTTTTCTGTGCCTCAACTTACGTCACAGCATCTATGCACAACAGAAAATGGCAAATTCTTGATCATTTACATACATGGTATCAAAAAATCATGATAAATCATCTCTTAACTTTTAACACATTTTTTTCTTTAAACTTTAAAGCACATATTGCATCATTTTTGCTTAGATATGCTTATGTGATACCAGATCTTTTAACTTAGTAACTAACAAGAAAACCTACCTTGCAGAAACCAAAATCAAACAATACTCCCTCTCTTTATACCAATTTGAACCAAGATGATCATTCTCCACAATATAATAGCTACTGCGGTAAGATTTAAGAATATTTTAATGCTAAATGATGCCATATCAACTACATTTTATGTCACGTGTAGTTTAGGTCTCTTCCACGTTATTTGCAAGCTACTCAACACCTATTACTTGATGCTTTTCCCAATTCATGCTTAGCTTTTGCTAACTTCCTTTTGCCAACTCAAACGGAGCTCAAACACCTTGTAGGACTTGATTTCTGAAGTGCTAGTTTTCCAGTCGTACTCTATTATTTGTTGCTAGATATGCTTGTAGCATGACAAATCTGCTGAAGAACCAACAAGGTTTGAACCAACCTCAGAACACCTAGGATATAAAAATTAGAAATTGAATTTCCATATAGTATAAACTTGTAAAGGTCTGAATCAGTAAACCTATTCTGGTTAATCAGGAGAAAGATGCATTTTCTTGACTTGAAAATTAATCTCTCTTTTGAAGTTATCCCACATCAGCAAGTAAAGCCTGAAAATCAGAACTGTGAGTTTTGTTCCCATTTCAGTAAACTCCTATATTCTGAATCTATTTTCTCTTCAACTTCGAGGAGGGAGATCAGGCTAGAAAATACTGCAAAGATTTAATAACTGAAGGGCTTTTCAAATACCCCGTAAGTTTGTAAACAGGGCTTAAAAATTGAAATATTATGACATCCCAACCATAACTAGAGCAGCGGCAGCTAGTAGAAGGTCTGAAGCAGTCCTACCCTCCTGATCTATCAAACAGGAAGATGAAGCATGACCAGCACGCAATAACAAGGTAAGTTTTGCCTGTGTCAGCTTTGTAATCACTGTATGAAAGCTAATTTACTTTTTGGAAGGCAATATAGTCTAGCAAACAGAACCTGATAGGGAACTGGGCAGTGTCACTTCCTTTCTGCCACTGGCCCCATCCATGAGGTAGGAGGAACACCTGTGTCCTGCAATTACTGCCCACGTGTGTGGATGAATGGAGTAAAATACTCAGAGCTCTAAAGAATATGCTTGGCAGAATCAGCATGTACATAAATATACAAAGCAAGGCATATATCTGTGCCCTGATCCTTCATAATTGCTGGATTTCACAGAAGATAACCAAGGCAGAGTCATTTCAGCAATGTGTACTTTATTTCATAAAGCAACTTGAAAATGCATAAACCTGCTTACATACTGTCTGTGCCTACCATTTCTACTTTCATGCTTGTATATTACTATCTCCCATGAAAAACAGTTATTTTTATTTTACAACTACACATTTCCAGAAAAAAAAAAAAAAAACAACAGTATAGAAAACAAGTCAGACTGTGTATCTTTGCAGTTATGTCATTCAAAAAATCAGGTTACCACTGGGTTTCCTTCTTTATTGCATCTATTAGAGTGTTTAATCTTTCTGCATCCACAGATATAATTTGTTAAATGACAACCTGCTGTAATAAACAATACATCAACTTTTCAAGCTCATAACATAGAGCTCAATCCCTTGGCACAGACAAACAGCCTTTGAGCTGAATAAAATCTGTTTGGCAGCTAAGAATATTTTCCAGATAGATCTGACACAAAAGTATACCAAACTATTACTAAATAACAGATAATTTCTCTACAATTCTTATTTAGAATAATTGTACAAAGACAGCTCTGTTAGCTGGCAAAACTGCAAACCATAACTGCTTAGGAACCAAGATAAAAAGAATGTATGAAATGCCTTCATATAAGGTGAATTGTTTATTTTAACTTTTAAAAATCTATCCCCCCTAAATATTAAAGCTTCAAAATCCAAAGCATATGTACAAAGTTCATTTTACATAAGTTATATTCAAAACAGATTTCTGATCCACATGCTTGAGTTGCAGTAAAACACAGGGATCCTATAAAATACGTGTTACTAATTTGAAGGGACAGAAAAGAGACTTGTGATTCAGGTACAAAAGAGGGAAGCAGAGACCCATGTTCTGAGCTCTTCCACTCTGCTCTCTGAGAGTTCAGCATTTACAATTTGTGCCCCAGGCTTCATGTCTATGAAAAAAAGCCCTTTTCAGATGGTTTCCCGTTTGTATTTTGTGACCATGAGGAAAATCATAGCCATTCAGAAAGCCTCCAACCGACTTTATTTCTGCCAATAACTGCTGACAAGTGACCCAGACAGGAATGCACTAAATTCAGAACAAATCATAGAAAAGGAAAAATAATTGTGAAGAAACATGAATTTCTGAAGTTCTCCAGAAGGCACGGGAACATGACTAAGAAAGATACATGCTGCTAACAGTTCACTCCTGATAATCTAGTATAACCCTGACTCATTTATCCCCTTCCTCTTCCAGAACTTCCCCTTTCACAGACAGTAAACACAAGAGGGGAAAAAAAAATTTAAAAACACCAAAAACACCACAACCGACCACCAAACCCAAACAGAAAAACCCCAACACTGCTCTTACAGAAAACTACAGGTGTAGAATACAGTCAGACAGTCTTAACAATGGAGCTTTCCTTAACACTTCGGAGGAAGTCAAGGAAAACAAAGGTTCCTGTCAAGATGCCTGTGGAGAAACAAACAAACAAGACAAAACCACAACAAACTGTACCATCTACTATTTTGGCAACCACCTCAACTTTGTATCTGTACAGTAATTATTTGTAAAAGCTATCTAAGGAGAGGATGTTGTTCAGGGAACAAAGTATATGTGCCTATTCTTGGGATGAAATATTCCTGGAGGCAACTATTACTTTCCCTTGAATGCTGGAGGAGTTGAGCATATCATGGGAGTAGGAAAGCAGTAGCATTCCTTAAATGTCTCTCCATCAGCCTTGGTCTGATGGATACAAGGAGTATTGTCCAAGTCTGTTGCAGCTCTGCTACTCATGATGGATATTAAAAGGAAAAAAATGTGAGACTTCATGTAGGGTTTGGGCAAGGATGCTTGGGAAAACAAGGGAAGTTGATCACAATGTGACTTTGAATTTTCCTCCATCTTTCCTTTGCTTAAAAATCACTGTGCTGATACATCAACTTCCGCAAGCAGTCTGGTTCCTTTCATTCTCATATTTTAAAGACCAGAAGAATATCAAAAGGAGGAAGGCAGTGTTTGAAAAAT